AAAAAAAAAAAAAAAACTCAACTCAAATTGATACAACAGATGCTACTATTGTACATCAGGATTAAGCAGGATAGACCTTACAGTTTTAACGTTCTCTGAGTTCTAACATTTCATGGACACTAAACCGGAGACCCAACAATCAACTGATTCTAACACATAGATGGAACGAAGTTTCACTGGAAACAAGAAACACGGTTCACAAAAATGAAAAAAATGAACAGAAGCTCACGAATCTGGATTAACCCAAGGAGGCCAAACAAAATCCAAAGCCAAATAATATGATCCTGATTGAAATTTTATCACAACCTCGTTTATGTATTTGTTTCAAAGCTATACATATAACAATCATATATTGAATAAAAATGTGAAAAGAAATGGCTTACTTCTCCCCATGGCGAGCTTCTTCTCAGTCTTCTCGGCCGAAAATCCACCCCGGAAAACCAAACCCTAGTAAATAAGCTGAACTGCTCGGAATAAGTATGCACAAATGATTCAGCGGGCTGCGACATCGGCCCAGTGTATCATGGGCTGCTTCGATCCTTTTTCCGGCCCATGACGAGCTTTAGCTAAATTAAGTAAGTTTGGAATAAAGCTCAATTGGAGTACTTTAGGTGAAAAAATTAATAACTTCTCCATCTTAGACATGGCAAAAAACCGGGCGGAGTCACGACCTGCCCCGGCCCGCCGGGCCACCGGGTAGGGTTTTGACGACTCTGAACCGGCACGGACCTAGAGTCGTGCCGGGTCCATTACCCGATGGGCCGGGCCGGTCCCGAGTCGGGTTTGGACCCGGCCACATAAAAAAAATAATAATAAAAAAAAATTCAAAAGCAATATATTTTTCGGTGTTGACCCGGCCCGGCCCGCCGGGTCAAGGTTGAAAAAAACATGACCCTTGACCGGCCCATTTGAAATCCGTGTTTGGCCCGGACCCGTGGTCAACGGGTTTGACCGGCCGAGTCCATGCCGGGTCCGAGATGGGTGACTCCTGGCCATGTCTACTCCATCCCCATCCCATATAAATATTGTTGCAAACAAGCCGAGCCGAGTTAAGCATTGGCCTTATCGAACAAGATCGTTTTTTTTTTAGCTGCTCGAACTCTTGACTCGATAAAAAACACAATCACTTGAGCTCGGCTCGAAAATTTTTAAGTGAAAAAATAAAATTACCGTTAAGCACTATGCTATATTATTTTAATTTATATATAAGAGGTATTTTAGTAATTCAACATATATCTCGAGTCGCTCGACAATGTAAAAATTTTAGTTCGAGCTCAACTCGAGTTTGGTCAAACTCGAAATCAAAATCGAACTTTGACTCAAGCGCTCGCGAATGATCGATTCGTTTGCAGCCCTACTTATAACAATCGGATTCTATTATGAAATTATTAGTCTACTTTGTCTATGGAAATAGTCACGTTACTTTAGTTATAATGTTTAACTATTCCAACCGCGGTGATCATATCGGTAATAATAGAAATTTATACTAAAAATTCTTAAAAGAATATATTGTTAGAATTTCGGCCCACTTATACCGATGTTGATAGACTGGGGTTGTTTGAGTGAACCGAATGGGGGTCTGGCCTAGTTCTTTAT